GGGCCCGGACGAGCGGGCCCGGCGGACCTTCCAGTGCTCCTCGTGCGGGTGGTGGCCGCAGGAGGGGACGCAGGCGGACCGGCATAGCAAAGAGTGCCAAGGCGCGCCAGCTCCAGTGTCGGCCGAAGCCAGTCGCGCAGCGAGGGCGGGGCTCATCACGGCGTGGTGGGCTAAAGGGGGAGCGGCTGTCCGCAGCCGACGGGTTGAAGCTTTCCAGGTGTGGCGGGCCCAGCGCCGGCCAGTTGTCCGCGCTGCCTTGTGCGACCCTGAATTGGACACCCCCTTTCACAAGGAACGAACTGGCCAGTGCCCGCACGTGCAGTACGAGTGCACCTGGTGCGGCGCGCAACGGGCCTTGTCGTTGATGCGCGTGGTGCCGTGCCGTAGGCGGCCGGCCGGCACGTTCCCGAGCGGCCGCCGTGACGCACAGCTCCCGCCTCGGTCCGTTGCCGCGAAGGCTCGGGACGCCCAACGTCAGAGAGATTGGCGGGCGGCCTTGACCCCGGAGGCTCGCAAGGCCCATAACCGCGCACGCTACGAAGCGCGGAAGGCCAGACGTGCGGCCCCGACCTCAAGTGATGCCGCTTCTTGACTCCTGGCCCCGGGCACCACCCACCCTTCTCTCCCCCTTCCCTTCCCCCCCTCTCCTCCTGCCCCCGCCTTTTTCCCCTCCCCACCCTCCCCTCCCTGCCCTTCCTCTCCCTCTCCTCCCGCCCCTGCCGCCCCCCCCCCCTCCTCCCCCTCCGCTTCCCCTTCCCCACCCCTTTCACCTTTTTCCTCGCCCTTCCCCCGTGGTGGTGCCTGGCCTCCCGGCGAGGCGAGCGTCGCGTCCGCTTTGGGCGCTCGGCCTTGTCGGCGAACGTCACGGTCTTGACTCGCGATAGGGCCGCCGCTGTCCTCGACAGGGCCGATGAATGGGGTTGCCACGTGGTGGCCCTTCAGGAGACGCGGCATTCGGACCCGCGCTACGGTTTCCGGCGGTGCCCCCAGTTTTTCACGGCCGGGGAGGGGCGGGTCCAGTGGTCGGCGGTCCCCCCCCCCCGGTCGGCAGCCGCGGCTCTGGGGCCCTTCGCCGCGCAGCCCAGTGCGGGATGTCTTGCAGCCCCCCCCCGCCCCCGGCAAGGTGGCACGGCAATCCGACGGCGGCCTGCCATGGGGAAAGGCAAGCCCGCCTCGAGCCCTGACGACTGGCGCCAGTGCCACCGCCGTTTCGAAGGTTGGGCTTCGTCCTCTGTGTACGGGCCCGCTGGCCGCGAGGATTCTGTTTGGTTTGCCGGGTCGATAAACTCCCTGTCCAGCGTGGCCAGCCCTCTCCCTGCCGCGGCGGTTGGCGATTTGAACTGGAAGCCCGGGCACAATGAGATCGCCGAGGCTCCCTGGGAGGTGGCGGACACTCTCCCGACCACGGTGTCCCTCACGTCGCCTTCGCGCCTCGTCGGTCTGGGCTGCTCGGCGGTGGCGGTGGATTCGGCCCCCCTGCCCGCCGTCCCCCACCATTTCGGGGCGGCGCACGATGTCGACCTCCCCCCTCCCCCCAATCCGGCCCAGACGCACCGTCTCAAGAGACCGGCCCGCTACGAGTGGGCCCGTGCGCCATCGTCGAACGAAGCTGCGCTGTTGGGTGCTACGGCTGACGAGCGAGGGGGCCCCGAGCCTAGCTCTTCCCCCCGTGTTTCCGACGCGGCAACCGAGGCGCGGGCGCGGCGGCACAGGCGCGCCGAGGCCACGCTGAAGACGGCAGCCGCCTTAGGCGAGACCAGCGTCACCTGGGCCGCCGAACGACCGAAAGTCGTTTCGACCGAAACGCGGCCCGTGGCCCCTGGCGGGCCCACGCGGGGCGAGGCCACGATCCGCGAACGTCGCCTGCTTCGGCTCCACAGGCTGGTCGCGGCAGCTGGGAGGACGAGTTCAGTGGGCACAGCTGCGCCTCTGCCGCCCCTGGCCACCCGCAGGTGGGCCCCTGCCTGCCAGGATGGGTTGTTCCAGGGCCCCCTCCCTCGGCGAGGCGGCCCAAGCTCTGTCCCGGGCACTCGCTTCCGAAGCTAAGGTCGCCCAGCAGCGCGCCCTCAAGACGCGGCGGTCTCAGTTCCGCAAGCGGGGCGCCCGCACTGCGGCCGCTGCCGCGCGGGCGATGCGGGAACCCGCGCCCGCCCCAGTCTTTTCGGCTGAGGATACGCGGCGGGAGTGGGAGCCGCGGCGGGCGCCTGACTCTGGAGGCGCCCCCCTGGACTGGGTCGTCGTCGCCCGCGAGTGGGGGGTCCCCGAAATCCCCGCCAACCCCGCCTGGCGCCCCCCCCTCTTTCGCGGCCTTCCAGCGGGCCCTCCGGGATACTCACGGGGCGGCTGGGCTCGACGGGTGGGAGGCTTCTGAAGTGCAGGGCCTCTCGGACCACCTCCCTGGCCTCCTCCACGAGCTCCGGGCCATCCTCATCGCCACGGTGGAAAGAAACGCCAGCCCATGGCCAGATGAGCGCACGGGGGCTTTCGGGGCCTCGCGGGCGGTCGGCACCCCCAAGCGGGGGCCCGACGACTCCTTGCCGATCGCGATCGGGCCGGTCTGGATGCGACATCGGGGCCGTTGCCTCCTCGACGCGCATCCCGCGCCCCCTGCCGAGGCGTTCGGGCGCCGTGGCCTCCGTGGCTGACTGGGCCGCCGCGCCCGGCGACGCGGGAGCCGAGGTCGACCTAGCCAGGCCTACGACTCGGTGGACCACGGCGTCGCAGGCGCCGCCCTCAGGCACCAAGGCGCACCTTCTCCGGTCGCGGCCACCATGGAGGCAGTCCGGCGGGCCCCCCGATCTTGCTCGGTGGCCAGGGACACTGCTGCTGCTCGGGGCCTGTCGACGACTGTCCCATTAAGGCCGCCGCGGCGGTTGATCGGGACCGAGCCTTAGCGATCACTGCGGACATCGACCGGCGGCTCGGCTCTTGGGAGAACACTAGGAAGCGGCAGGTTTGGTCGGGCACCCAAAGCGCCGAACACTTAGAAGTGCGGGCCGCTGTCGGCGACGCCGCGACCTGGCCCCAGCTGCCTAAGCCTCGGGACGGGTGGAACCAGATCCGCCCCCAGGTGCGCCTGCTCCGCGCGGTCCCCGGCGGGCAGCGGATCAGGGAGCTCGCGGCCCTGATATGCATCGCTCCTAAACATCGGTGGTCGGCTCCGTTCTGCGCGATCCCGCCATGTGATCTGATCGCGCTCACGCTTCGGTCTGTTGTCCGGACTCGCTGCACCTGGCGGCGCGCTCGGCGCTGGCACGCCGAGCAGGTTTCGTTGCACCCTGTCTTCGGTACGGCGCGCGCTGTGCTGAAGGCGGCTCGGGGGGGTCCCGCGTCGCGGTTGTTGTCGGCGGCGCTCTCGGAGCATTCCGTCGCGTTCGGGCTGCCCCCGGTCGCGGGCCAGGTCGCTCCCCGAAGGCGTCTGGCTGCTTCCGGCCCCAGGGCTCGACCCCCGGGCCGCGGCGGCAGTCGCCGCTGCAGCCGCCGCTGACAGCTACAAAGCGAGAACCTACCCTGGGACCTCCCCTCGCCCCCCCCAGAGGGCTTTCGACGCCTCATCCGATCGCGGTCAGCGCGTTCTCCGGGAGTGCACCCGGACGGCGCTCCTTCGCCCCCGGGCGGCGCCTGGGCCCCCGCCGCGGCGCGACGAAGATGGGATCGGGGAGATCGATCTGGCTGCCCAGAGCGCGCCGCCTTGGGCCCAGTTCCGGCGATCGCTGGGCCGAAACGAGACAAACCTCCTCGCCGTCTGGAGGGGCGGGGCCGTGTGCACGCCGACCCGCAGGCACGGCAGCGCGTGCGTTTGCCCGTTCGGTTGCGGGCACACCCAGGCGTCGGCTCGGCACTTCTGGGCCAGGTGCCCGCGTTTTACTGGACGTCGGCTCGAACTCGGGGAGAATCTGCGGGTCGCGCTGGCCTGGCGGGGGGGCCCAGCCCCACGTCACGGCGAGAACGGGGTGGATCACTAAGGCTGCCGGGGGGCTCGATTCAGCGCCGGGCCCAGCTGCAAGTGATGGCGTGCCGCCTCGGCATCGCCATCATGCAGGCGTTCGCTGGCCTCGGCGGGTGGGCTTTCCGGGACGCGTTCTCCCCGCCCGCCTGGGGCCCACCTGGGTCCTCCCCCCCTTCCCTCCCCTTTCCCTCTGGCGGGCGGCGGCCTGGCGGGCGGCGGGACGGACTTCGACGACGCTGACGGCCTCCCTCCCCCTCCTGGTGGTGGTGGTGGTCCCCTGGGTGCTGACAGCCGACCTGATTAGCTCCGGTTCAGTCCTGTGGTCCACCGGCCCTTTTCCCGATTCGCGCCCGGGTCTCCTGCGGTCCAGGGGTTTCCCAAGGTTTGAACAGTTCAAACAGCGCCACGCGCTGTTTCAAACAGCAGCTAGGGCAAAGGCACCCTGCTGTTTTCATTTTTCGGGGGTGTGCCGAAATTGGCGGCGGGGACGCATGCGAACACCGCCACTGAAGCCTTCGGTGGTCCTTACAGGGCCAATAAAATGTGCGAGCGGTGTGCCGACATGGATGGCGGGGGACGCATGCGAACACCGCCGCTGTGGCCTTCGGTGGAGCTCCCCGTGGGGCCACGAATGTGTGAGGGGTGTGCCGAAACGGGTGCGGAGGTGCGGGCGCTGCTAATGGGGCCAAGAAGCGTATGAGGCGTGTGTCGAAAGTGGCATGCGGAGAGCAGATGCACGATGATGATGACGATGTGCATAATGGCGATCGCGACGGCGACGGTGATAATGATGACGACGGCACGCGGAAAGCAGAGGCACGGAAGAGACGAGGGAGGAGGGGGAGGAGGAGCAGAGGGGGGAGCGGAAGGAGGTGTGAGACGCGGGGCGCCGTTTCTTCAAAACGAGGACCCAACACCACAGGATGGTTGGGACAAAATCCTCATCATCCTGCTCCTGCTCCGCCTTCCCCTACATTATCACCCCCGTCCTCCTTACGCCTTTCTCTCTTGCCCTCGGGGGGGCGAGCAGGCGGCGGCCAGGCAGGGGAACATCACGCAGGACACGTTGTTGAAGTGTCCCCGCAGGGTATCCACCTCCCAGGCCTTTGAATCGTTCATCCTGAGTTGGGAGGGCATGCTGGCGCAAAGAAAACGGATAGAAGAGCGAAAGCGGCAGAGAGAGGGAGAGGGAGATGGAGAATGAGAGTGAGAGTCAGAGTGAAAACGAGTGAGACACACACACACACACACACACACTTTGTGGCGGTCGCAGCCGGGGGGAGCGAGAAGGAGAAGGCCTCCTCAGAAAACTCAGAAGCCCCCCCCGCCTTCTGAGAAACTCTTTTCGTCCTCCCCGAAGACACCGAAGACTTCTCCGAAGGCCCGAGGGGTGGCGGCGCCGCCAGGCGGCCGTGCCCCAGTCTGGGCGCAGGGGGGAGGCCCAGCCCTCGCGGGGAGCAGGGCGGGGCAGCTCCCGGCCGGAAGAACCAGGTAAAAACGTGAAGCAGGAAGGCGGACAAAGCAGAGCCGGCCCGTATCATACGGATGCGCGATAAGGGTGCGAGGGCCTTGGACGCCCGTTTCGAAGCTTTCCGAGCGGGGCGCGGCCAACGGAAGTGCCAAAGGATGGGCCGAGGAGGCAGGGATGCAAGGGTACCCCTGGGAAGGTTGCCCATCCTTACTGTGCGGGTTGACTGTAGATTGGGTTCAGGCCCTCCCAGAGAATAACAAAACGACAGCAGAAACAGATCGGTTCCTGAAGCAGGAAGGCGCATGAAATAGATTGGGATCTGGGAATGCAAAAATACCCACTCTCAACGACCGGCGTGCACTCTGGCGCCACTGTGTGCCCCGAGCTACCATGCCGCGGATCTCACCCACGGGAGACCCGTCGCGTGGGAGACCCACCGTGGACGTGTCGTCCAGGGCGCCAAGGAGATGTCTGGCAAACGCGAGGCCGCCATGTGGTCAGGCGTGGTCGCGGCTCGGGCGTCGGGACGAGAGAGAGAGATTGAGAAAAAAAAAAAAAAAAATGACTGAGATCTAAAACCGAAACATTTCCACACACACACACACACACACTTTTGCGTCGGCGGCTGGGCAGAGGGCAACTGCTCAGGCGGACTGGCAACTGCTCAGGCGGACTGGCAACAAGGCCGCGATGAACGGAAGAAGGAGCCCCTGCGCGACAGCAAGAAACACACACACACACACACACACATACACTCGCACACAGAAGCAATCAAACACACACACACGCAACAACAGAAAAAAACAGCACATACAACAAAAGCTGGAAGCGGGGGGAAGAAAAAACACAACAACAACAACAACAACAACAACAACAACAACAACAACAACAACAACAACAACAACAACAACAACAACAACAACAGCAACAACAACAACAACAACAACAACAACAGCAGCAGCAGCAGCAGCAACAACAACAACGGAAGCACCCCAAAACCCCCCCCCAAAAAAAAAACGCCGAAAACAAATGACAAAACACTACATACAAAACTTACAACACATCAATGAAAACACCAAACAAGAAACATACAGCAAAAACAGACAAACAAACGAACAAACAAAAGACGGGAAACCTAAACAAACATAAGAGCCCCCCTCAAAAAAACAACAACAAAAAAAAGAGAGAGAGAGAGAGAGACACAGACAGACAGAAATAGACAGAGAGAGAGAGAAAAACAAAAAAAGTAAGAGGGGAGTCAGAGAGAGAGGTGAACCGAGGGAGAAAGGAAAGAGGGAGGGGAAGGGGAACAGGTGGAGAAGGGAAAACGAAGAGGGGAAGCTAAGGATGCATGGAAAGATGCCGGGAAGGAGCGAAGGCGAGACAGAGAGAGAGGGGATGAGTTTTCAGAGGAAGCGGAGAGAGATGCGAGATCCGCGGGGGTGAGGGAGGCAGGGACTGATGGCAAGGAAGACGACGAGAGGGAGGCCGAGAAAGACAGGCACAGAGGACGAGAGGCGCGGGGATGGAACGGATAGGACAGTTCTAGGTCGGGCGTGTCCCCCTACAGGCGGATTTTGGAAGAAAAAATACAAATAATAGAAAAGATTCAAACATGTTCAAAAAATGCTATACAAAGATCGTCCACATCCCAATGTGTTCTGACTCTCTTTGATAATTCCTCCAGTAGAGGGACGCGCCCGACGGAAGGACAGGGAGATGGGGAGAAACACAGACTCGACAGGACCGACCACTTCGTGGCCAGGGGGGGTGCTGGTGGGGGGCACGGTGGGTCGCCCTGCCAGGGCTTTGCGTGCTTCCCTGGGCGGCCCTTCGCCCGGAGGGTCTCGGGGCACTTCGCGGCGTGCCGCTTCCAACCGCGAAACACGTCGCACCAGAGGACCCCCAAGCACGAGGTGCATGGCCGCGAGAATGGGCAGAAGAAGAAAAATCGGTATGTACACCAACTTTTGGCGCACCGAGCGGATTGCTTGGATCTGCGCCGGGCCCCCCTCCCTCGCGCGCGGAGCCGGAGTGCCGTCGTCGGGAGACCCCAGCGCGAATCCAAGAAGTCCACGCGAAACGCCAAAAGTTTATGTTTATAGCGTTTCTTCTCCTTCGAGTCGGGTTAGTAGGGGCCAGTTGTGCAGTTCGGGCAGCTCGCCTGGCAATCGCTCCCACCGATCCTGGATGCAACATAAATCAGAGTACCCAAGAATCCCTCAAGACAGGGAGAGAGGCAAGACAACTCAAAGAAGGCATCCCAGAAGAACCAAATGAAGTCGGGGCGGCTTGGGAACATGTATTCAGCCATTCAACGAATGAGCCCGGCGCTTCTGCGGCCTCCTACACGCTTCCAGGGCAACCGTTCCACAGCATGCTTCTACACTGCCCTGATTCGAGCAACTCCTCATTTCCTCCTCGGGACAGGAAAACGATACCCCCTCCTCCTCCTCCTCCTCCTCCTCCTCCTCCTCCTCCTCCTCCTCCTCCTCCTCCCCCGCCTCCTCCTCCTTCCCCCCCTCCTTCTTCTCCCCCTCCTCCTGATCCTTCTCATGCTCCTCCTTACCGCTCCGCACTCGGCTCCTCCACAGCTTGATGAGGCGGTCGTCGGCGCCCGAGACGATGAGTGGCAGCGTGGGGTGGAAGGACGCCCAGTTGACGCCCCGGTCGTGCCCCTCTGCGAAGCACGGAGCGAGGAGGGAGGAGAGAGGAAGAGTAAGGGAGGGAGGAGAGAGTAGAAAGGAGAGAGGATGAACGAGGGCGGAGGGAGGAGGAAGACATGAGGAGAGAAGAATGAGAAGAAGGAGGAGGAGGAGGAGAAGGGAAGGAGGAGGAAGAGGAGAAGGAGGAAGAGAAGGGGGAGGAGGAGGAGGAGGAGGAGGAGGAGGAGGAGGAGGAGGAGGAGGAGGAGGAGGAGGGGAGGAGGAGGAGGAGGAGGGGAGGAGGGAGGAGGAGGACGGCGAGGGAAGAGGAGGAGGAGGAGGAGGAAGGATGAAGGCAGAAGAGGAGAAGAGGAGAGAGGAGGGAGGGAGGAGAAATGAGGGAGGGAAGAGAGAGGAGGAAGGGAGGGAGGGAGGGAAGGAGGGAGGAGAAGAGGAGGGAGGAGAGAGGAGGGAGGAGGGAGGGGGGATCGAGGGAGGAGGGAAGGAGGGAGGGACGAGGCCGCAGGGAAGAGAACGGAGATAGAAGGACGAGGAGAAGAGGAGAGGAGGACGAGGGAGGAGAGAGGAGGGAGGAGGAAGACGACGACGACGACGACGACGACGACGACGACGACGACGACGACGAGGACGACGACGACGACGACGACGACGACGACGACGACGACGACGACAACGACGACGAGGACGACGACAACGACGACGACGACGACGACGACGATGACGGCGACGACGACGGCGACGGCGGCGGCGGAGGCGACGACGACAACGGCGACGAAGACGACGACGACGACGACGACGACGACGACGACGACGACGTCGACGACGACGACGACGACAACGGGGCCCGCGTTGGGGCGGAGCCCACGGCTCTGGAGACGCGTCACGCACTGCCAGTCGACGCACCGCCCAGCGCTGGGCGCGCTGGGCGCCGGGGGGCCCGGTGTGAATGGGAGAGCCGCACGATTCTGCAAGTCTACCAAGAAGCTGGAAAACACAAAGGGCTAGCAAAAGAAGAAGAAGAAGAAGAAGAAGAAGATGACGAAGAACCGGCATAATCATAAACTTTTGGCGCTCCGCGCGGATTTCTTGGATCCGCACTGGTCCCCCCTCCCTGGCGCGCGGAGCGCGTCAGGGGCGGCGCCGGAGGCGCCGCCACGGGGCCCAGCGCCGATCCAAAAAATACGCGCGGAACGCCAAATTTATGCTCTTGGCGTCTTTACTCCTTCGAATGGTTGGATTCACATGTGGAACATCTGGAGGCCACCGGATGATACGCGTGTGGAGGGCCAGCACGCCTGGCCATGAAGGGGCCGAAGGCTGCAGAGACACGTAGCCATACAAGTAGTACGAAGCTCTTGCCCAGGCTGGCCGCTTCATGCGTATCCAGCTTCCTGGCAACTCGGCTTCGAGAAAGCCGTGGAGCTCTCGGACGGACAACTGCTCCGGCTGCAGTGCTCCCAGGAGGCGAGCCAACGAGGGGCAGCGCCCGAAGGGAGGCCCTGGAGGAAGGCAGGTGGATTTTGGGAAGAGCTCAGCGGCCGCCTTCTCAGGAAATCTCGAAGAAGGGAGGCCTTCTAAGAAGCCCCCTGTCCGTCGTTGATGGTCCAACGCCTTCGCCATGCACCTTCTACACGCCGACGAACTCCCGTTCCCCCTGATCTCCACCAATCCTTCCTTCTGCTCATCCTCCCGCCCGTCGCCCCCCATCCTACTGCGACATGTCCTCCTCGTCCTGAGACTATCCACTACTGTTGCAGATCCTATGGTGCGGCTTCCTCCCACGCCCTAAACGTCCAACGAGTTGGGCTCCCCCACGCGAGAGAAGCAGAAGGCGAGACACTCGAGAGCATCGAGGCTCTAGAAGCTGCCAGCAGCGAAATCGCATAGCCATCAACTCGACTGGCGCAGGGTACCAACACGGTGAGGCAGGCAGACGGTGTAACTATGCTTGTCGCAGGCGAGCCGTGAGAGACGCTCCCTGCATGTCAGCAGTGCCAGCCAAGGCCATGCAAGGCAGAATGGGGAGAGGCGAGGAGGCGGGCGCAGCGACGAGCACAAGCATGACGGAAGGAGTGGGACGAGAAGGAGGATTTACCATCAACACACAGCTGCCGACACACACCGTGCCGAGACCCCCTCGGGTAGCGAACAAATCACGCGACTTTTGGTTATGGTCGGCCTTTGGGGGCCCTTACTGGGCCCCGGGACTGTCAAAAAACGACTCAGGACGGGGGTCGACATTGAAAACAACAAAACAAAAAAAACGGGGCTCTGGACGCTGGGTGGCGAGCCCAACACGGGCCCGAGTGCACCCGGGGCGTCGAAGAAGAGGAAGACAACCACGAGCAGGCGAGCCCCAGGGAGACACCGTACATGGCCTGCGCCACCAGAGATGAGACCAGGAAGACCTCGCACCCAGAGAACCCATCGGTCGGAAGAAGTAGGTAGAAACATGAAGTAGAGAGGCGTTGGAAATGGATTGGGTTTCCGCCCGCCTCCTGAAGAGGAGGGAAAAGGGAAAACCACTCGACTCTTGAAGTAGGAAAGCGCTGAAAGTAGATTGTAATCTGGGAATCCAAAAATACCTACTTTCAACGACCGATGGGTACGCGGGACGGGCCGTGAGAATGCCATCGACCTCCGCCGCCAGGACTCCGGAGCGCCATCCAAGCAGAGCCCCTGGCCACACGCGGAGCATGAGAGCACCGACTGGGAGCACTCCTCGAGGGCATCCGACACAAAGTGGCAGTTGAGGCTGGTGAGCCGCTGGTCGCCAATGAGCAGAGTAAACTCCATCATCTGGACATCTTAAAACAGACCACGGCAGGCCAGCAGTGAGGGCAGCAGGAAGGCTGACGAACTCCCAGTACTCCTCCTGCGGAACAAGACCGGAATCGCTGTCGAAACGAATGGTGACATCAGGAACACAAGTTACGGCACCAGGGTCGAGACGAAGGGCGCCATCGAACCCGCAAAGAGACGTATCCAAATACCCCGAGGCATCGCCGATATCCTCGGCGACGCGAGCAGGATCCGCCAGAGCAGCTCTGGCATCATCACCTTGACCACCAGGAAGGTCGGCAGCGACACCGCCACCACCAGCGCGGTCGACGTCCACATCCTCGATACAACGGTCGCGGTCGGCTCCCCCGCGGGGTGCGCAGCCGCCTCCACGGCGGGCCGCGGCACGGGCGGCGCTGCCAGCGCCTGCAGCAGGTCGACGATGTGCTGGCCGACAGACTGCCCCGAGAGCTCGAAAGCAACTGGCACAAAATCAGGGGCGGTCAGGCACCGGACACCCGACCCGAGCACGGGCGGCTCGACCTGCAGGCTGCGCACCCACACCTACACAGTGCACTCCACGGGATCCGCCATGTGCACCTCCTGGTTATCCCCTCGGCCTGCTGCCGCATCGCTGGGCTCTCCGAGCGCGGCCCATGTGTTGGGCCTGACGCAGAACACCGGCGCTCGCCCCCAGCGAGCGTTTCCCCGGAGCTGCCGCGCGCAACCCGACACTGCGCCGCACTGCCTGCAACCAGGTAGGACGTCGTCCGTGAACGAGGGCCTGGCGAGCAGGAAGAAGACACTGGATGCGAGCGGCGATGTCCCAGTCGCCGAAGAGGGTGACGCGCGCGCCCTCTGCGTCCTTCGCCTGCCTCTCGGCCTCCGCCACCTGCCGCTGAAGGCGAGCGACCAGGCGAACGGCCGCGGCGAGGCTCGGGCTCTCGCAGCACCGCGCCGCGGCACGCCAGAGCTGCGCGCACTGCCAGCTCAGCCTGCGCAAACCGAGCTGGCTCTCGCAGCCACCCCACCTCAGCGCCGCGCCCGCCGCCGCCGCCACCGCCAGGCCATACCGAGCGCGGAGGAAAAGGGAGAGGAGAGGGTATGAGCCAAATGGCTGCGGAGGAGGAGGAGGAGAGTGAGGAAACTGAGGAGGACGAGGACGAGGACGAGGAGGACGAGGATGAAGAGGACGAGAATGAGGAGGACAAGATTGAGGACCAGGACGAGGACAAGGACAAGGACGACGACGACAAGGACGACGACGACGACGACGAAGACGACGACGGCGACGGCAACGACGACAACGACGACGACGACGACGACGACGACGACGACGACGACGGCGACGACGACGACGACGACGACGACGACGATAACGACGACGACGACGACGACGACGGCGGCGTCGAAAGCGACGACGACGCCGACGCCGACGCCGACGACGACGACGACGACGACGCCGACGACGACGACGACGACGGCGACGACGACGACGACGGTGACGACGACGACGACGACGACGACGACGACGACGACGACGACGACGACGACGACGACGACGACGACGACTACGATGACGACGACGACGACGACGACGACGACGATGACCCCGACGACGACGACGACGCCGACGACGACGACGACGACGACGACGACGACGACGATGATGACCACGATGACGACGACGACGACGACGACGACAACGACGACGACGACGACGACGACGACGACGACGACGACGACGACGGCGGCGAGGGCAGGGGGCGGAGGTGAGACAGCTAGCTGGCACGCTGGCTATACCTCCAGTGGCGAGTCCCTCTTAATACCTGTTGCCAGCCTCGGAGGGATCCTTGTCTCGCAGCGCTGGGGGGGGGGCACCATCTCATCCTCCACCTCCTGCCCAGAGTGGGGGACTGGCGCATGTTCTCATGGTGCCATTGCCACACTTGCTCTGGGTCGGACTGTCGGCAATTTAAAACGGTGATGCGGGAACGGGAAGGCGGCCGTTTTTTCCTTGAACAGGAATGAGTTTGGCTCCTCTGCGTCCTGGTCAGTGTGGTCTGAACCTGGGCCCAGTGCTGTGACGTCAGCTGACGCAACGATCCTGCATTTCCGGGAGAGGTGGTGATGTGTGGCACGTGAACCCCCCGGGGCTTCCGCCCACTCTCGGGCGGGGATCCTCGGGTGCGAGATGAGCAATCTCACGTGGTGCCAGCGCGGACCCCGTGTGCACGTGCACGTGCCCGGACCCCGTGTGCACGTGCACGTGCCCGTCGACTGTTACCCGAAGTTGGCCTTGCTGCTCAGTGAGCATACTGCTGACAGCCGCAAGCAGGTGAACCATGCCAGCGCAGCCCCCGCAGTGTCGGGTGAACCATGGCTGCAGGGGACCTGCGGCGGGGCAGCGAGTCAGCGACTTGCCCCCTTTCTGCCCCTGTCACTTTCCTCCTCTTGGCTGCATTCCGCATGGCCATCAAGTTGCAAACAGTGGTCCCAAACAGCGGTCCTCCTCCTCGTCCTCCTACTCCACTGAAAGATCGGCCCCGCGGACCTCTCCAGCATTGCGTTATGACAAAGACAGAACTTCGAGCCGGGTCCAGCTGTGGCGACAAAAAAACCCTGGGATGGCGAAAACGTACAAGAAAAGGTTCAATACCTCGAGCCGCCACCCTTGCCGAGTTTCCCCGTCATCGTCCTCCCGCCCCTCTCCGACGGAGTCCTCCCTGCTTGGGGGACGAACGCAGCGCTGAGCCCGAGCCTCGAGCACGTACTTGACCACGGCGTCCGAGGTGCCAAAGACGTCGTTGCCGCCGCTGCCGGCCACGGGCGGCCCTCCACCGATGGAGACCGTCTTGTCGCGGAGGCCAGAGGTGTCCTCGCCCAGGCGAGTCGCTGCTGCTGGGGTCGTCGTCGCTTCGGAAGTCTCGAGCGCTTCTGGGGGTCCTCGTCGCCGCGGCTGGACGCGGCCAGGACGGACCCTGGGAGCACGGGAACGGATTTTGAGCAGATTTCAATCGGAACGCGTGCCCTGGCATGATCAGGAAACGTGCCATCGCGCGGACGTCCACTCCCCGTGCATGTATCGGCTTCATGCGTGAATGTTTTCGCAAGATGGCTCAAAATGCTCTCCGATGGTCCTTGCCGAGAAAAAAAAACAACACGTCCTGGCGATGTCAAGGAGAAGGAAGAGAAGGAGGCGGCGGAGAGAGACGGAGGGATGGGCAGTCTCGACGTGAAGGAGCTGCGCAGAAAAGCGATGCGTCCGGGACCCATGCCGCTTCCTGGCAGTCTCGACTAGCGTGCCACATGTGCATGCAAATCGCCAGAACTTTCTAGCAAACCCTCCCCCCAGATCACTGAGATTACCATCTCCCTACCTTCGCGGTGCTTCCTCCTATAACCGACACAGCTTCGTACGTTGACCATGCCACCTCGCAGTGAGGATTATTTCCTGCTCTGCCGGTGACGCTTCTTACTCCAAGGAGCCCCGCCCGACTCGGATCCCTCAACGCTAGATATTACTTGTTCGAATAATTTTGCAATTGGCATTTTGACTATTACCGCAAGTGGTACTACAAAGAAGTGATCAGGAAAGGATTCTACGCAGGAAGGTGCGCAATACTTGGTGAGTCGCATATGATCGGTAGAACGTGCAACTGGTGCAGGAAAGGTAGCGGTAGTGGACGTCATAGACTTAGTAGTCTAACGAGTAGTGGCAACGGTAGCTGCACTCACAGCAGTTGTAATGGTAGAGTAGGTAGTTGCGCATTGCGAGCGAGCAGCTTCCACTGAATCATCAAATCTCCTCCTCAAAAAGTTATATCTCACGGTTGTTGTGCGTGTGGCGACCGCAACAGAATTACCAAAAACAACCTGCGCGAGGACCACCACCACCTCAAGGGGCTGCCAGGACAAGCAAGGCCGAACCTACGGGTGTGACAAGAGTGGATGGTGGCAGGAACACCCGAGTGTGGGTGGTGACGTGGCCCCATGGGCAGGCCCCCGCGGGCGACAACCAGAAAATTTAAATGACGGGGAGGCTAAGGGCGGGATCCCATGAAGGATGACCGTACGGGCGACACGACTGAAGAATCCAAAAGACGGGCCGATAAGAGCGGGAGACTAGGGCCTACGGGTGCGACCATGGGCTTCGAGTGGCAAATCCGACATACGAACAATAAATGAGAGCGGTACCCGGTGGGGGCGGGAAAATACTGGAAACGATCCAAAAAAGTTCAACAGACGGGGCAACCAGGAACGGCACAACAAAGCGGGGGGCCAAAGACGGGGCACCCAACGGCAGGACCCTACCCCCCAGGCGGCGACCGGAAGCCCTGACCAGGCAAGGACGGGGACTGCGCGCAAGGGCGCACAAGTGCTATTTGAAGAAGGCGCGCAGAAGCGCACAAATCTGGAGCAGTGCATGCACCGCAAGAATACGGGGGGGGCGGTGCCTTCACTGTCGTTGGGCGGTCGGGCCTGGGGGGCTGGAGGCCTGCTGCAGTGAGGGAGGAGGGAGGCGGAGAAGGGAAGGCGGGAGGACGAGAGTGAAATACAAGAGGAGGCAGCGCAAGAGGGAAGGGACTGGGAGGACTGCGTGGATCACGACAAGGGGCACGAGATGGAGAAGAAGGAGAAGGAAGAGGAAGATGACATGGTGGACGAAGAGGGAAACGACTGCGGAGGACGCGGAGGACCACGGTGATAGAGAGGGAGACCGCCAGGGAGGACGAGGAGGACAAGGAGCACGAGAGGGAAGACGACGGGGAGGCCGAGGACGAGCATGACGGGGAGGAAGTAAGGAAGAGGAGGATGGCAAAGAGGCAAATTACGAGGAGGACAACGTGGAGGAGAAAGAGGGTAGCGAGGAGGGCCAGAAGGCTACGAGGAGAATGACAAGCACGAGAAGCAAGAGCACCAGGTGACAAGGAAAACAAGGAGTGATTACTTGGAGGACAGCGTGAAAACGATGAGGACATCGTGGATGAGAAGGGGAAGAGCGGGGAGGAGAAGGAGGAGGAGGAAGAGGAGGAGGAGGAGGACGCGACTCACGAGGAAGAGGAGGAGGACGACGACAACAATTAGGCGAAGGAGGGAGAAGAGGACGAAGACGACGGAAAGTGGCAATAGGATGACAACGTGGAGGACATCGCGGAGGGCGAAGAGAGGAGGATTGAAAGGAAGACGACGCGAAGGACGAAGAAGAGGAGGAGAACGACGACAACGAAACAGAAGACGATAAGCACGCAGAGAAGAACGTGGAAGAGATCGGAGGTTCTCGGGCCCTGGGGGGTTACCTTGGGGTCATTTTAGGACCCCTTTTCGCTCCCTTAGGCTCTTCTCCGGCCCTGGGGGGTTACCTTGGGGTCATTTTAGGATCCCTTTTCGCTCCTATTAGGGCTTTCGTTGAGGCCCCGGGGGTATCGGAGCTGAGAGCAATGTCTGAGGCCTCCCGGTGCCTGCTCGAGCCCGCTGGAGCCCGACCGGAGCGCATGGGGGCCCCATGGAAGCGTCTCGAGGCCTCGCTCCTGGGACTGTGTATGTATTGGGGGCCTCAAGAGGCTCTCGGGGACCTCTCAAGGCCTCTCTGGGGGCCTGCTGGGGGCCTGCTGGGGCCTCCGGAAGCATGAGGAGGAGGAGGAGGAGGCGGACTATGTTGAAAAGCAGCCCCTGCAACACACGGGGCAATCAAAAACAACCTCCTATGGGGGGGGGGGAGGCCTGGTCGACGACCGCAAAAACCCAAATGACAGGACATCTGACGGCCGGAACCTATGGGAGGGTCCCGCTGGCGACTGCCAACCCCGACACCCAGGGCTACTGCAGGCGGGACCCGATGGGCGGGACCCAACAGGCGGCGACTGGGAAACATGCCTCCGTGTCCCCAGGCAGGTTGTGGCGTGGTATTATGCCAAGAGCCGCAGATCTTCCTGTGACCCCTCCTCTCACCCCGCCCAGTGGCGCAAGTTGCGTGCGTCGCGCCCCTCAGGAGGCTCCCTGCGCGGCCCGACAACCCCCCGAGGGCAGTCCAGGGCTCTCCAAAGCTTCCGAAAGGGCCCGGGGGGGGGCCACCAAGGCCGCCAAGATGGCCCGCCATTGAGGCAAGAGGCACCCGAGAGGACCCCAAGACGGGCTCAGGGACTCCCAGAGGCTTCCAAGACACCGAAAACCAAAGCCAGGAGGCTCCCCCAGAAGACTAGAGTCACTCAAAACCAGCTGATTCCACAAACTCTCGGCTTAAGATGGTTCCGACCCAGACGGGCCAAGACAGCCCCAATAGAGCCACAGTACGGCCAGAGAGAGACCAAGACGACCCCAGAATGGCCCCACAGGATCCCCAAACAGCTTCAAGACGGCCTAGGTGACCCTATGAGAGCCCCTGGAGAAACAACTCGATGCGGAAATCCCCATCTGTGCATCTCACTTGATGGCGCTTCCCGCTGGCAGCGACCGCGTCTGGAAGAACCTTGGCCTGCTACTAGACGGCCTAGGATGGCCCCAAGAAAGCCCCAAGCTGGCTCAAGAGGGCCTCTGGAGATGCCCAAGACATCCTTAGAGAGGCTCACCGACGGCCCAAGACGGCCTTACGACCGCCGTGAGAGGATCTCCCAAGGCTCGGGGCACCAGGTGTCACACGCTACGGCCTCCTGTGCGCCTCGCCTTCCAAGGTGCTGGGCTGGCACGGTGGCGGGACTTAGCGCAAGCAGCTGGATACTCTTCATGAGCACCCCTTCGAAAAACACTCCTCTTCCTGTTTTTGAAGGATGAAAAATCGACCCTACCCTGGATACAAGTGCGTGGTCTGTAAACCCCAAAGCCTAGAGGACGCCAGGACGCCGCACGTCATGCAGGATTTACCCTGTCAGCCCACAAGAGTTTCAGCGCGCAGCGGCTCGTAAACCAGGGTAGGGATGTTTTTTTATGCCTTGATGTTTGCCAGCCCCATCATTCTTAATCTCTCCAGCACGGCACTAAGCACGGCGGGCTGTCCCAGACGCGGACAGTCTGGTCCAGCGACGCGGAGACGACCAGGTCTTCCTTCGGATGGAAGTGGGCGCACATCACGTAGTGGTTGTGCTGCGGGGAGTGCCGGATGGAGACGAGGACTAAACGACTGACAAACAGTAGAGAGGGGACGGTGCATCCAGTCATAGTCAACACGAGTATCTTGTTATGTTGTTCTCAGGTAAGGCATCCTCAGCATTACCTTCCAACACACTAGTATATGATACGAGTACGTCGATCCGAATGATTCACAGGGCCCCGTGGTGGAGAACCTATAGGTGACTGGAAATGCTAAACCTGGGCCAGACCATGTGGCCCAGACCGCAAACGGCTGGAAATGCTGGAAGTCAGACAAACCCTATGGCCGGAACTTGATGGGCAGCCGGGACCCCTGGCAATTTGGCCGACCCGTTTATCGGCGGCGAGCGAGGATGGGAAGTGAGAAGGAGAAGGCCTTCTCAGAAAACGGCGGAGCTTCTCAAAGCCATCGCGCCTTCTGTAGGCGAGCGCGTACCAGTACTCGCAAAGTAGCTACTCGCAAATGGCCTGGATCCGCCGCGGGTGATCTACGATAAATCTCATCGAAGCGAACCTATGTTTTTCGGACATTTGCGAGTAGGCACTTTGCAAGTAGTGGAACGCGCTTGGTGATTATGAAAGGTTTTCTGTGACTTCGAGGAAGGCTTAGAAAATTTGTCCGAAGGCCGGAGGACTTCCGAGCCTTCTGAGAAGGCCTGCTCCTTCTCACTTCCCCCCTCGCTCGCCGCCGAGTTTAGACTGAGATGGTTGATCGCCTTCTCGTTTTCCTTCTTTTCCTCTCTCTCTCTCTCTCTCTTTCTCGTTCTTGCCCTGCGCGCTTTCCTTTGCTCCCTCGTCTCCTGCACACCTGCGCGCTGCTGCGAGGCCCCATGGGATGGCATGACCAATCCCTCAACCGGCTCGCAGGGGCATGCCCCAGATCCTCTCGACCTGCCCCATCTTGGCGGCGAGCGAAGGGGGGGGAAGTGAGAAGGAGAAGGCCTTCTCAGAAGGCGGCGGGACTTCTCAGAAGCCCTCGCGCCTTCTGTGAAGTTTTTGTCTGTCTTCGGGGAAGGCTTAGAAATCTTCTCAGAAGGCCGGGGGACTTCCGAACCTTCTGAGAAGGCCTTCTCCTTCTCACTTCCCCTCCTCGCTCGCCGCCGACCATTGGATGACATGACACATCCCCCACCTGGCTCGCAGAGCATGCCCCGGATCCTCTCGACCTGCCCCATCTTGAAGCGAAGCAGAAGATGGCAGGTAGGCGTCGCGATCTACATTCTTCCGATGCAAAAAAGATTCCGTTTCTAGAACAACCCGCAACACTCCGAAATAGATCGGCAACACGATCCGAAACCATGCCGCAAGATGCATTTGAAATCACGCGACCCACTGTGTTTGTTGAAGTTGCCATGTGGCACTCCCTTCCCGTCCATATCCGCAGGTGATCATTCTATCTGCAGCCTGCAGCCTACCTTCAAAAAACCCTGCGAGACCACAAAGAGCAGCCGTCTGATCATCAAAGCGGCACCCCTGTGAGCACGGCAATGCACGAGCGGGACTGCCAGTTCCAGATGCGGATCGTCTGGTCGTCCGAAGCGCTGGAGACAATTATTCATTCACCGCTGGATTTCGGCAGCGTACAATAACCCGCTGTTGGGTCAAGCTGGGTCACGTGACTTACTCCAGGGAAACACATATTGGAAAAACTCATTCGAATCAAACTTTTGCGCAGGTGGCACACGCACGCATCATTGTATGGTACAAGCTGTTGCTATACCCCAACCACGATGGTATTGTGTTCTTCCATATACGGATGCCTCTTGAAGCTGCTTGCACTTGCTAGATGTTTGCCAGCGGGAGGCCACAACTGCGCGTTCTTGCACTCTCGGCGTGCACTCTGTGTGACACAAACGACGATTTCAAATACATGTCGTCAAATCCACGATGTGTGTATATATATATATATACACCTATGTCTATATATATATATATGTGTGTGGTGCACGGTACGTGGTGCGAGCTGCGAGGTGCAATGCACGCGTTATGCCGTGCAGGCTACTTGCTGCAAGCCATGGGATGCAATCCATGCTGTGCGTTCTACAGAATGCGCTAGATCTGGTGTAAGCTGTGCTGTACAATCTATGTGGTGCAAGGTGTTTGCTGCAAGCAGTGGGGTGCAATCCACATTCCAGAGGTTGAAGTCGCTGACTCCACTGCCCGCGCAATCAGCCTACCCTACCACCCGCAACTATGTTTTGCATAACCCATGCGGCGGGCTAACGCGTGCAGGCTCGCGCGAAGCGTCCAGCTGGTTTGCCACAGCCGACGCGGCGGCGATGGCGCTTACCAATGGGAACTTCCCAGCGCGTCTCGGCGCGAAGGCACTTCAAATCCGGTCGGTGATGCGGGCGGGCGCGATATCGCGATAACGGGAGGGGCAACGATGATGACAGTAGCAAAAGTGGTGGCGAGGGCGCCGATACTGGTGACAACGATGACGATGATGCCCATCTGTCGGTGATGACGAAGATTGACTGATGATGGCGGCAACGGCGGCGATTGACGATGACGATAACGACGGTGATGCGGTGGCGCTGATGAGGGGAATAATAAGGAAGTGCGCGCGCAGAAATACAATAAGCCTGACAAACTGTTGGCTGAAAAACATGGACTGTTTCGTATGTGTTTGAAGAGCTCTATTTTGGAATTATTCGGGAACTTATGGCTTATGAAATACATTTCGACACCCGCGCGTGGCGGCGCGAAGTGTGGCCCGCGCAGTGTTCTTTGATACGAATTCGTGCACTAGACGCATGATGGATCAACGCGGATGCACCGCGCGGTGAGATGATCATGAGTGTTTTAGGCGAAATTGGCAAAATCAGATGGCTTTGATCTAAGTTCAACAAATAAGCAAGGGCAGGAAATCTGAAGAAAATGTGGTGGAAAACCAAGGGGGTTGGTGTACTTACGTTGATCTAGGCATGTGCGACTGCGTGTGTGCTTCGTGCCATGTGTTGCAAGGGATTCTAACAAAAAAAAAAATGTTTGCGATTGTCGAGTGCGCAAGCATTGTAGTACTGGACAAGGATGAGGGGGGGGTCATAGAAGTCGCCCTGGGATGGTATGAATTCATATGGAAATGAACAGTAAAGCATAATCGGGGGCTGTTAACCTCGTGGGGGAGGGTGGTAGAGTCGATCCTTTGTGGCAGGAGAATATATGCAGCGCAAGCTGCGTCAAACAATGTCTGGGGCGCAAGATACGAGGTGCCATATGTGTGGAGACTGGTGTGGGAGCTCGAGGCCGCCCCACGTGGAAAACCCCCCGACTGGGGTTTGGGGGCTTTGGGGGGGGTCCCTGGCGCGGGGTGGCGCATCAGGGCTTGTGTTGGAAGAGGTCTCTGAAAACATGCTGCGTGTATTCTTGCAGGGCGGGAACCCTGGACTGACCGCTCACAGTAGGGAGCCCACAAGGGACGTACGCGCCCAACTATGTACATGAACGCGGCCCCTCGATCCGCGAGACCCGCCGCGTGATACGAACACTCTCGCAATGCGTGCTTTCGAAACCAGCGTGGATTCATGTACGTGTACGTCCTTCTTTCGCTCCTGACACAGGTGACCCACACCCAAACGACTTTCGGCATCCCCGGGCCCCCCTTGACGCCCAATGCAAGGCGCTGCCTCGGGCTCCCGGGCCCCTGGACGTCCCTGCCAGACCTCGACAACACGCCCAGAACGGTCAGGAGGATCGAATGGCCAGACGGCCCCGCGCGAGCCGCAGGCGGCCCCAGACACTCATTAAGACACCCGAAGACGACCCAAAGAAGACCCCCCAGACGCCATTCGAACGCAGCCACGGAACACTGCACGTGCTCGACTTTTCGGCATCCCGTGTTTTGTATGATATGGGAATCCTCGTCTCATCGGTATCCCGGGCAACCATAAAAAAACAGTCAAACGTACAGAAAAGAAAATCTGGAAAGTCCAAGAGAGCACCACGACAGCCCAACAAGGCCCCAAGACGCAACGAAGAGAGCCTCACATGACGGCCCAAGATGGCCCCAAGACATTTGTTAGAATCCCTGTTTATATGTTTATGTGTCTCTCCCTCACGCTGTGTACATATATATATATATACACAAACAAAGATGTGTTGAAATATACACTAGAACCACGCGCACGCTTCGCGCACGCGCTTACCTTCTAGCCGTCCTCAGAAAAAAATCTAATGCAAACTGCCACCGCGGAGTGCAGGGGCGATTGCGGAGTTCTTTCGGAGTTGGTAGTAAGACCTGTGGTCATGAAATTGGGGGATCCAGGCGGCGTGCAAGGAACCCTTTTCTCCGCGTTTCTTGCGTTTCTCCAGATCCGCCCGAAGACCAAAAAAGAACTGAACGAAGAAGAGGCGCGCCCGAGTCTGGTTCCGTAGCACACGCCACCGAGGCCAAACCACGGTGCATCGAAGGCCGCCCCCTCCCTCCTGGCCACGCATCTGGGGCCAAACCACGGTGCATCGAAGACCAGACGAGTCTGGTCTCTCGGGGACATTGTTGAAGAAATCCCAGGCCACCTATAGCCGTCGTTGGGCCGTTATGGGGCCTCTTGGATGAACGTTGGGGATGCGGTCAACGGTACCAACGGGCAATTTCGCACGGCGTCCCCTCGCCCATTTCGGAAACGAGCTCCCCCTACGGCCTATGCGGGTGCGTTCGCGATGGAGCATACGGTTGTTCGGCACCCCCTTCCCGCGGATCGCACCCCACACTCGCTATCGCTCGGACGTCCATTCCCCGTGCACTTGTCGGCATCACTCGCCACCTTGTCACAAGATAATCCACGATGCTCCTCGGTGGTCCTCGCCGAGAAACATGCACACGTCCGACCGTTGCCGGGCGCACAGAACTCAGCGCACCTGTGCGCGCTTGCTCCGCAGCAGCCCCCCCTCCGCACTGCCCTGCGGGACGCAATGTGATGTGGTGGAGAGGGGGCCGCGCCCTGCGCCACTTCTTCTTTTATCCGTGGGCGCCGAGCGGTCAAAGACAGTCAGACGCCAGGCAGCAAACGGTGGGGCGCACCGCACGAGGGCGGAAAAGAACAGAGCGCGAAGGGGGAAGACGAAGGAGCCCGCCCAGACCATGGAGGTCGGCGCGGGGATGCCGCACTTGATTTTGCTTGCGAGCTGTGCAACGCCCTGCGCTATTCGGGACTGCACAAGGCTGGGCCCTCCGTCTGGCTACCTGCTACCTTCTCGAAGACGCCTGCGGCGAAGCACCACCGCCCCCTGCCTCAATGGAGACGCCCATGCTGCTAAACGTTGGGCCAAACTCTGGCAAAACTGGTGGACCATGTGTTCCCCCAGCCGTTCTGGAACCCCTTGGGGGGATGAGGAATGGGGATGAGAGGGAGAAGTAGGACGAGGAAAAGGCGAACGAGGAGGAGGCCTCCGGAGGCCGTCTTGTAACTTCCCGGGGGCTTCGTGGAAGCTTCCTGGGAGTCCCTGAAGAGCCATTTGGGGACCTCCTGTGACGTTTTGGGATCTCCTGGGGCCTTGGGGGGGCCTCTTGCGGGCCTCTTGGGGACTCTACAGGACCTCTTGGCCTTCGGAGGCCGTCTTGGAGGCCTATCCCAGCAATCGTGGGCAACTCTATGGCCGCTGTCGAGCCGTCTTGGAGGTCTGTGGGGCCCTATTGGGGCCGTTTGGGGGGCCTTTTGGGCAGTGTTGGCGCTATCTTGTGCCGTTTTGCGAGCCTCTTGGGGTCCTCTTGGGCAGTCTTGAGGCAATACTGGCGATGTTTAGGGCCTATGCGGCCGTCTTGGAGCGTCGGAAGCCCGAAAAGGCGAGAACACTCAAGTCATTGCAAAAACATGGAAATCCATGACGGTGGCCTCTGGGAGGTCCTCTTCTTAGAAGCGAACCACAAACTATACATACATATATGTGAGTGTTTACATGCGCATACACGCAAATATGCGTACATGAATGTGTACACATGTGGAGCTGTGTATGTGAATGTACATGTATATGTATATGATTATGTTCATGCATATACATATGTGTATAAGACTATATAAATGGATATGTACATGTGTCTGATTATGCGTATGTATGCGAATATGTGTATGCAAACTAATGTGTGTGAATATGTGTATGATTGTGTACATGTGTATGTGTGTACATGTAGATGTTTGTGTTTATGTGTATGAATGTGTGTACGTTTATGTTTGTGTACAAGTAGGTGGATGCGTATGCGAATGTGTATGTGTATGTTCGTGTGTGCGTGCACGTGTATGTGGATATAGAATATGTGTGTAAAATGTGTGTGTGCATACATTTGTATGTACATACATATATATATATGGATATATGTATACATATGCATGTGTGTGCAAGTGTATGAATTTATAATATGTGTGTAAATGTACACGTACATGTATATGTAAGAAAATGAATGAAGTTCTACATATGTGTTTGCGCATATGTATGTATGTGTATGCGTGTAAATGTAAATGTGCATTGAGGTATAGATGTATGTGTATGTGTGTACGTAGGTGTACATGTATGTTTGTATGTAGGTCTATGAATATGTATACATACCAAAGTGTGTCCTAGCGTTTATATTGCAATGACGGTGGATGGTTCAGAACAGTATTATCGAACTACAACAACAAATACAAATAACTATGTCATACCTGCTTTCCAATGTAAGTGATGACGTTGCATATAAAAAACCAAGCGCAACCAAAATGATAAAGCACATGCGGCATCGTGTTAAAGGCCCGAAGGAAAAAAAATGGGAGCTATCTTCCTCCGCCCGCACCCCGCAGTCTGAACCACCAAGTCTCTACACACCTACACTATATATGTATGTATATGTGTGTATATGTATGTATGTATATATATGTATATATATATATATATATATCCATAGGCCTGACACAGTGCGTTTGGGAAGAAACAACACGCTGTCCATGTGTACATGCCCGTCTGAATTTGTTTCCACGGAACGCCTTTCTTATGATCCTTCTGCGCCTGGGGCATAAAAAAAAGATAGCCGTCCGATCAGGTCGTCCAGAATCAACGAGCGAAAATCCACAAATGGTCCACATGAGCCTCAAATCGAACTACCGGATGCGTCGTTTGACTTCTATTCCCTAGTAGCGTTTCGCTAGAGGGTATGATAATGCTCAAATAGTTCTCCTCACCAGAATCTCCTCAACGTGGGCCAGGAGGAAGCGTCTCACCAGCCCAGCGTCGCAGACCGGACACTCCAGGCAGCGCTCACTATGTTGTTCTGGCTCGACTTGGTCCAGACATGCGACTCGCTATGGTGTTCTGGCGGCCTGGAATCCGCCAGCAGCGCTCACTATGGTGTTCTGGCTCAATTTGGTGCAGACATGCAACTCATTATGGTGTTCGCTGGCAGCCCGGAATCTGCTGGCAGCGTTAAGTATTCTGTTTTGGCTCGATTTGATCCTGAGATGCGACTCATTGTTTTCACGTGTCCAGGCCACGCAGGGGGATATCCAACATGGTGGTCCCAAGCTGGAACCACGTGTTGTTGTCCCGAATTGCGTTTCGCTAAAGGGTGCTAACAGATATCAGAAACTTCTCTCACCAGAATCCACTGGGGGGGCCGGGGGGAGGCGTCTCGCTGGCCCGGCGGGCTGCCAGTACTGCAATTTTCCTATCGATTGCGCCTCTACTGTGGCTCGAGTCATATGTTCCTTCACCAGTATCTCCACAAGGGGGGGCCGGGGAGAGGCGTCTAGCTGGCCTGGCGGGCTGCCAGTGCCGTATTTTACGCATGTTCCTGTAACTCGCCCCTCTCCTGGGACTCGAATCCTGCGGTTTACGAGTGTTTCTAGTGATTGCCCCTTTCCAGAAACTCATCTCATGTGTTTGACGTATGCTCCTATAGATTGCCCTTTTCCTGGGACTCGAATCCTATGTTTCCAATATGTTCCAAAATATTGCCTCTTTCCTGTGGCTCGAATCCTGTCTTTTACGTATGTGCCCATAAATTGCCCCTCTCCTGTGGCTCGGACCCTGTGTTACGCATTGATTGCCACTCTCCTGCGGCTCGAATCCTATACGCATGTGTCTATAAATAGCACTTCTCCTATGGCACGAACCCTACGTGTTTCACGTCTGTGCCTATGAATTGCCCTTCTCCTGTGGCTCGAAGCCTATATCTCCCCCAGCCTTCCTGGACTCTGGGCCAGAACGTCGGAAGGTTACTTGTATCCCGTGTCGATCCGTTGACTTCTTGGCCTCTGGGCGGCACTCCCCCGGGTCTCCCGAACCCCCCGCCCGGGGCTCCGGGACGGAAAGTCGGAAATTGACGTGCATTCGTTTCTTTAACTTTGTGGCCCCCGCGAGCCCCGGGCCTGGCCTCCCGGGGCCTCACGCCCCCCTTCTCCTGCGGCTCGAAATCTGTGTGTGAACAGATGTGCCCGCGAGTTGGCTTTCTCCTGCGCTCCTGCGGCCCGAATCCTGTGTTTTACGTGCGTGCCACTAGAGTGCCCCTGGGGCTCGAATCCAACGTGTTTTACGCATGTGCTTACAGATTGCCACTCTCTTGTGGCTCGAATCCTAAATGTTTTGACGCATGTGCCTATGGATTGCCCCCCTATGTGGCTCGAAACCTGTGTGTGTGTGTTTGCGTATGTGCCTGTGGATTGCCCCTATCCTGTGGCAAGAATCCTGTGTGATTTATTTACGTATGTCCCTATGGCTTATTCCTGTCCTGTGGCTCGAATCCCATGTGTGTTGCATATGTTCCTATCGATTTCCCCTCTCCTGTGGCTCAAATCCGATGTGGGGGTGCCTGAAGATTACCCTCATCCTGGAGTGTTCCAGCTCAACATTCCAGCTGTCCTAGTTCCAGAAAGTGTAGCAGGAGCTTCTCACCATTCCAGCTCCCAGGAGTGGGGTCGTTCGGTCCCCAATGATGTTCCAAGCGCGTTCATGTAACAATGTCGACATCGCGAACGTCACCCTCATCAGCAAGATCAACTACGCAATCGTATCGACAATATGATAGGTCGTGTTCGCAAGCCCACGTTTCAAGCGTCCATCCGCCTCCACACCTTAGCTGCTATTAGGGTGCTTTGCTGGGATAGTTATGCTCGCTGAGCTTAGCTCGCTAAGCTTGTATTAGCACGATTCAGCCTAGCTTGCCTCGGCCCTGTTTAGCACAGCTTATCTCAGATTGACGCACCTCAACTCAGATCAGATCACGCCAACTGGGCTTAAGGTTGCCCTTACGTGGCCAACATTTGACTCCCAGTCCAGAGACTACACGGGCAACACCTGGGAATGGCAGACAGAAAAGTCAGCCGCCCCTCAGCACGGCTATCCTGGGCGCGAACTTGACGCTTGTTCGCAAAGGTCCAAGATGACAATGTGAAGAGCAGATGGAGCAGACAAGTCCCGTCATCCTCATCGTCATGTAAGATTGAGGGAGCGGGGGCATGGAGGAGGGAAGAGAATGAGGAAGAGGAGAGAGAGGAGAGGAGGGATACATCACAGAATTACTGTCACGCAACCAGCTTTGCTCAGCGTGACTCAGCTCAGTCCAGCCCAGTCTACTATTCCAGCAATGTGGTATAATAGCTTCGTTCAGCTAAGCTTCCAATGGTTTCTTCCTAAGACTAGCATTGCCATGCCTTGCATGGCACTGCTTGATAAGCTTGCGCAACATGTTGCTTGGTTCGGCCAACCAGGGCGGAAACATCAGCTGCATCACTGCTTGGATGTGTCATTCAGTGCCACAGTGTCCATGTCGGAACGTCCGATGTTGGTCAAGTTTCCCTGACCTTGCCATGCCAGGGTTACCAGTATGTCATCCTTGGCTTACATTGTACCATGTTTGAGTTGGGCAAGCACGAGTTCGCTTAGCTTCGCTTGTCTTCAGACTCCTCAGCTGGGCTCGGCAGTTCTCTGCTCAGTTTGACGGAGGCGGGTATATTCCGCCGCCCGCAAGCAAGTACCACTGATGGACGTCTGCGGAAGCCCCCCGATAACATAAACACGGAGGCGAAGAACGAGGGAGAAAGGGTACGGGAGAGGGGAGGGACAGAGAAAGGGACAAGGCAAAAAAATGAGGGAGGATGGTTGGCTGCTTGGTGCGGCCCCCAGGTGGGCAGGCACGGTGAAGCCTCGGAAAGGCGTCCACAGCGGAGGGGCAGCGGAGCCTTGCTGGCCTCTGGCGACGGCCTCCGCAGCACACCCTCCCGGGAGGAGGGGGTGCCCCTCCTCCTCCTCCTCCTCCTCCTCCTCCTCCTCCTCCTGCTCCTCCTCCTCCTGCTCCTCCTCCCCCTCCCCCAGGGACGAGCACGAGGAGCGGGAAGGGCTGGGAGGGGAGCCCCAATAGGGGAACCCACCTCGACAGGGACCCCGCCCGACCCCCCGAGCCGCCGCATGTCAGCGCAGGGAGGGAGGAGGGGGGGGAACGGGAGGCAGACAGGGCAGATCCCAGACTGTCCCGGCCTCCACGCTCCCGTCGTGACCCTTCTTGGCTAGCTGGTCGAGGGGAGGTGGAGGAGGAAGAAGAAGAGGGGGGGGGACGACCACATCAGCGACGACGCCGAGGCGGAGGCGGACGAGTAACGCGGGGGGAGGTGGAAGGAAAGGGAAGAGGAAGCTGAGGCGGGTGAAGAAAGCCAGATGGGGTCCGGGAGGGTGGAGGGGACAACATTGGCAGAGGGGATTGGTCGGCGGCGAGCCGCCCGGGGGGGAAAGTGAGAGTGGGCGGGCCTTCTCGGAAGGCTCGGAAGTCCCCCCATCTTCTGAGAAGTTCCCTACGCCTTCCCCGAAGAGACAGCAAAGACTTCTCAAAAAGCGCCAGGGCCTCTGAGGAGTCCCGCCGCTTTCTGAGGAGGCCTTCTCCTTGTAATTTCCCCCCTTCGCTCGCCGCCGAATTCGGAGAGGGGGGAGAATGGGATAGTGAGAGGGGCAAGGGGAGGGGAGGGGGCTGCAGGGGCAGGAGGAGCGCGCGGAGGGGAGCGCCAGTCGATCCACACAAAAAAAACAAATCCTACCGACCCAGGCGTACCCCTCTTCCTCACCTCTTCATCCACTTCCTCGTCCTGCCTCTCATCGCAAACACACATCCTGAGGACCCACGGGTACTCGTCGTGGAACTCCACAGTGCGGATGTAGTCCAGGTGCCCCAGCAGTGTAAAGATGCAGCGGCGCAGCTGGTAGTTCCAGATCTGTTCGGAAGAATGAGCAGGAAAAGGAGAAGAGCGAGCAACAACAGCAACAGCAGCGAGGAAGGGGAAGCGGCCATGGAGGAGGAGGAGGAGGAGGAGGAGGAGGAAGAGGAGGAGATAGAGAGATAGAGAAGGGCAGGGGGAAAGAAGGAGGGGAAAGAAAAGGAGAAGGAAGGAGGGAAGGAAGAGAAAGGAGTAGGGAAGAAGACGGAAGGAGAAGGAGCAGAAAGGGTGCGGAGAATGAGAGAGAGCAGCTGGCAGCGGAATCACGCGGCAAGGGGATGAGACGGAGCGAAGCAGCAGTCGGGACGGCTGGTGGAACGACACGAGGAAACAGGGACCAGACGCTCCTCGATGGTCCTCGCCGAACAACAACAAAAAAAAGACAGACGTCCGAGCGATGCCGAGCTGGAAGGACGAGAAAGGGCGGGGGCCGCCCGTCGGAAAACAGGGCCCGAGGAGGCCAAACGCGAGAGCCTCGAGGACGCAGCGTGGCTCTGGGCGACGGAGGAGGAGGAGGAGGAGGAGGAGGAGGAGGAGGAGGAGGGGGAGGGGGAGGGGGGAGGGGAGAGGAGGAGGAGGAGGAGGAGGAGGAGGAGGAGGAGGAGGAGGAGGAGGGCGCTGCCCTCGACCCCCGAGGGTCGAGGTGGCGAGGTCCCCCGCATCCCTGGTCGGCGCCTTCGGCAGCTCGGCGCCTTCAGCAGCCGAACCGGCCGACGCGGCCAGGCCAGCTCGCCGCGGAAGCAGCGCGGCATCCAGGTCGGGAAGGCAAATCGGGGGCCCAGGGATGCACAGAGCCATGGGCACAAATCCCAGGATTCCCCACACCTTTTCGGATGTTCTGCACGTGCGTCTTCCCCTCCAGTTCCCGTACTTGCCAGCTCCTGGGAATCGACGAGTATTCGTGTCTGTGTAATTTTCTCCTCCTGATTGGCGCAAGCGCCCTGAACAGAGGACAGCCGCCCGACGTAGGGGCCAGGACCAAAGGGGGGCAGGGGCACAACGGTGCCTGGTGCTTTCGTTCCTTCAGACTCTGCGTAGGCGTTTTGTTGCTCTAGGCTTCGCCCGGAGCGTGGGGGAGGGGGGGTCTGGGTCTGGAACGACGCTTGGTCCATCTGCTGTTGCCAGTCGCGCCAGCAGACTGGGGAGGGGGTCCTTACCAGTCGCCAGAAGCAGCCAGGATCTGGTCGATGGAGGGAGGGGGAGGGGGGGGAGGCCAGGGGCCCGCGCCCATCGGCGAAACAACAACGACTAAAAAAGCAGCGACCAGCGGTGCCTGATGCCCTCTCTGCTTCGGATTTCGATCGTCTCCCTGAACAGCGTGTGATGGCAGGTCCCGTATCACCAGGAGAGCTCAGAATCGAATAGATAAGTCGGATCGGCGATCGAAATGGATCGGATCGGCGGAAATCAACAGCCGAGTCGGGAAAAGTCGAATCGGCAGATATCGGCACGCTAGCGGGCCTCCATTGAGAAATCGGAGCCCGAATCGGACCCCGAAGTCGAATCGAATCGGAACTGGAATCCATTGGAATCGGATCAAATAGAATCGGAGGAGTCGAAATGAGCCGTGTCTGCGCGGGGTTAGGATCCGCATTCCTGCCGCTGCCCCCTTAGATCTCATGGTCCGCAGGCCGTGGTCCCTATCCTACAGTCGGGCCCAGGACAGAAGGACATCCTGCAAGAGCACGAGGCCCTCTGCCGGCCAAAATGAAGAGCATCCGAGAGCACCCTCCCCCAGGAACCCCACAAGCACGCAGAACGTCAGCGCACCCTCCCCGAACCGACCTCGATCTTGCACCTAGGTCAGACTGTATGTCTTCGGTGGCAACTCATGGGAGCCTCCCGTCCCATCTTGCCGGCTCTTGCGAGTCGACGCTATTCGACGCTAAATCGACGTCAAATCGACGCTATCTCATCTCGGGGGCGCGCAAACATGGATTAGCGACCCATGGATTTGGCGCGCGGTCGCCAAATCCATGGATCGGGGAGGTGCCCTCCCCCAAATGCCGCCGTTGCCGCCTCGCTCGGCGGAAATCCGCGATTTGCCATGGAAACGGGACCCGTCGCTGATGCACGCCCCCTTGACCCATGTTTGCGATCGCCTGATCATCCACTCCCAGACGCTACTCGACGCTAACCGACGCTGAAGACGTGACGAAGAGGGTATACCGGGCTCCCATGATCTGCGACCGAGTTAGGCAAACCATCAACACACTCCCATACCCATAGGGGGATCGGAGAGGGCTATGGGTGCGTGTTGTCGGATGGGGGTCCCCGCTCGAACGGGAGCATTCCCCAGGGTCCGACAACCCGCACCCATACCCATAGCCAGTCCTCCTCCCAAAGACCTCCCTATGGGTGTATGGGTGTGTGTTGTTCGTTCGTCAGAGTACGTGGTCCGGGGCCCGCAGATCGTCGCGGCCCGTGGCCCGCGGCAGGCCCTTCGATGTTTCCCCCTCTTTGTCCCTTCTCCCTAGCCGTGCTGGCTTAGGCGCCTGATTGAGCTCGAACTGTTGATCCGCCCGAAGAGAAAGGGGCTCCTCCTCACCCAACTGCGACCCCCACGATCCCATATGGGTGCGTGTTGTCGGATGGGGGTCCCCGCTCGAACGGGAGCATTCCCCAGGGTCCGACAACCCGCACCCATACCCATAGCCAGTCCTCCCAGGGTCGCAGACAACCCGCTGATTGACGAACCGCCCGAGGAGAAAGGGGGCAATGCGAAGATCCCGGATGGGGGTCCTCCATTCCTCCCATAGCCAGTCCCTCCCCTCCCTATGGGTGTATGGGTGTGTGTTGTTCGTTCGTCAGAGTACGTGGTCCGGGGCCCGCAGATCGTCGCGGCCCGTGGCCCGCGGCAGGCCCTTCGATGTTTCCCCCTCTTTGTCCCTTCTCCCTAGCCGTGCTGGCTTAGGCGCCTGATTGAGCTCGAACTGTTGATCCGCCCGAAGAGAAAGGGGCTCCTCCTCACCCAACTGCGACCCCCACGATCCCATATGGGTGCGTGTTGTCGGATGGGGGTCCCCGCTCGAACGGGAGCATTCCCCAGGGTCCGACAACCCGCACCCATACCCATAGCCAGTCCTCCTCCCAAAGACCTCCCTATGGGTATGGGTGTGTGTTGTTCGTTCGTCAGAGTACGTGGTCCGGGGCCCGCAGATCGTCGCGGCCCGTGGCCCGCGGCAGGCCCTTCGATGTTTCCCCCTCTTTGTCCCTTTTCCCTAGCCGTGCTGGCTTAGGCGCCTGATTGAGCTCGAACTGTTGATCCGCCCGAGGAGAAAGGGGCTCCTCCTCACCCAACTGCGACCCCCACGATCCCATATGGGTGCGTGTTGTCGGATGGGGGTCCCCGCTCGAACGGGAGCATTCCCCAGGGTCCGACAACCCGCACCCATACCCATAGCCAGTCCTCCTCCCAAAGACCTCCCTATGGGTATGGGTGTGTGTTGTACGTTCGTCAGAGTACGTGGTCCGGGGCCCGCAGATCGTCGCGGCCCGTGGCCCGCGGCAGGCCATTCGATGTTTCCCCCTCTTTGTCCCTTCTCCCTAGCCGTGCTGGCTTAGGCGCCTGATTGAGCTCGAACTGTTGATCCGCCCGAGGAGAAAGGGGCTCCTCCTCACCCAACTGCGACCCCCACGATCCCATATGTGTCAGTAGTCTGCGACCGAGCACGGGTTTCGGGTTTCCGCCCCGCCTCCTGAGGAGGAGGGGAGAGGGAAAACCACTCGACTCTTGAAGTAGGAAGGCGCTGAAAGTAGATTGGAATCTGGGAATCCAAAAATACCTACTTTCAACGACCGAGGGGTACGTGGTCCGGGGCCCGCAGCTCGTCGCGGCCCGTGGCCCGCGGCAGGCCCTGCCGCCCCCTGGCCTGGGCGCACCGCCCTGGGCCTGCCCCTGGCCCGCGGCGTGCCTCTCGCGGCCCGTGGCCGTCGGGCACATTGACGCGTGGAGGGCTGCATGAGAGGAAGGAGAAGAAGGAGAAGAAGAAGAAGATATATAAGAAGAAGAAATATAAGAAGAAGAAGTATAAGAAGAAGAAGAAGAGGGAGAAGGAGAAGAAGAAGAAGAAACATAAGAAGAAGAAGAAGAAGAAGAAGAAGACGGAGAAGAAGAAGAAGAGGAAGAAGAAGAAGAAACGGCATAACATAAACGCTTGGCGCTCCGCGCGGATCTCTTGGATCTGCGCCAGGGGCGGCGCCGGAGGCGCCGCCGGGAGAGGGGGGCAGCGCGGATCCAAGAAATACGCGCGGAGCCGCAAGTTTAGAGTTGTATCGTTTTTTCTTCGATCCAAAGGTCCAGTTCGCAAGCAGAAGTGGATCGGGGATGCCTGAGGATCCTGAGGGATCGCCGTGCTCAGAGTGATCACTGCCTTCTGTGAGTCATGAACGTCCTGCTGCCTTGACTCTTGATGTCCACGTGCCCGTGCTCCAGCGAGCTGCGGAGATGCGCAACAAGGCGGCTCCGACGCACCTGTTAAATATGCGCGCCCGAATACATGACCTAAATGCATGGGGACGGGTGAGACAGGAGAAGGGGGGACGGAAGGGGAATAGAAAAGGGACTGGAGGTAGAAACTGATGGACAAGGTGGCTAATCGTTCCAGCCCCATGAGCGACGGTCTTGGCGGGAACGCGTGCCGTCTAGAGGCGCGCCTTGATCTTGTAGTCGTCCCCACCGGAAACGAACAAAGGCTGCGACATGTGGAAGCAGACGCCACGGACTGGACCGCCTTCGTGCTCCTGGCGCGGCAGGAGCTGGAGGGGAAGACGGAAGGGAGGCGCCAGGGTACCAAAGAGCTGTAGATGGGAAGACGAAGAGGTAAGATGGAGGGGGAAGGCCGGAGGGACGAGCTGTGGGAAAGGGGCGAAGGGCGAGGAGGGGCGAGGCGAAGGATGGGGAAGGGGGGATGTGTGGTGCGAAAGGGGAAGGCAAGAGAGAGGGAGCGTGGGGCCCGGGCGAAGGGGAGATTCACACGCCGAAGCCAGCGGCGGGCGTCAGGCGTCATCCTCGAACTTGTCGATGAGGGAGCCGATCCTGTAGTCCCAGAGCTGGATGGTGCCGTTGTGCAGGCTGGCAAGGATCCAGGAGAGCTTCGGGTGGAAGCTGAGGCCTGCGCCCCTCCCCGACAGCCCGCCTGACCCCGGTCCTCTCCGTCCGCCCTTCGCCCCCGGAACGCGTGGAGGTGAGCCCCCAGGCCAGGCTGCCCTCGTGCAGTAGGGGCGCCCCTCCACAAGATGCCGTCCACAAGAAACCCAACCCTGAGACCCCAGGACGTCCATCGATTTTGGTGTGGGAACGCCACGCTTCCCACAGCAGAACCATCGAAACCCGAGAAACCCAGGGCACCCTGGAGGCAAGCAGGGCGTCTCTTGGCATGGGCCTCCACTGCACACTGCCTGGGCGGCGAGCTGGCGGAGAGGCAGGGAGGTGGGGGTTACAACGGCATCACCGCCCTCGCACAACTCTCAGATGCCTCGACAAATCAGCCGCCGTGCCCCCGGTGGCACGCTGGGGCGTGGAAGAACGCCAGGGGCTGTCCAGCAGGGCTTCTGCGCTGCAGCAGGGGACCGCTCGACCCCCTGCCCGCGGACTGCTGCATGCACCGCCCCTCCGATCCGAGGCCGCCTCCCCCCCGTGCCCGCTTCCGGACAGTGCACTTCCCGCATAGCGGCGAATGCCCAGACCCCCATTCCGCGCGGGCCCCGTCGAGGATGGTGCACTTCCCGCATGGCAGCGAATGCCCGAACCCTCACTCCCTGTGCGCCCGCTCGAGGATTGCTCAGTTCCCACGTGGCTACTCACTACTAGCCCTCTCATCCACGCGCACCCGCTCGAAGGTCGTGCACTTCCCGCACTCCCAGGCCTTCAAGACGGCGCGATGTGCCTCTAAGAGGGCCCAGAAGTGCCACAAGAAGGACCCACACAGGGCCCGAAGAAGCCACAATCATTGCTTTCTTTTGATATGTTGAACGATTTTCGCGTTCTCGCCTTTCTGGCTACCGTCAGGCCAAGACGGCCCACGCAGCCTCCACGAGGACCCCAAGTCAGCCTAAGAGGGCCCGCCAAGAGTCCCATGGCCTAAAGGGCCGCAAAACGGCCCAGGAGGGCATCCCGCGGGGCCCCAGACGGCCTGGCCGCCAGGCTCTGCATGACGGCCCATGACGGCGCCCAGGCGGCTCTACGAGGGCGCCCGATACCCACCGCACGGCCAACCGTCAGCTTCCAACGTTGTGGGCTCGATCATGGAAGCCCTTTCTGCAAGGGATGCCCCGATGTCGTGCTAGTATACTGATGTTTTAATGCTCTTTGTGGAAGTATTCCACGTCTGATCGCCCTCCGCCTCCTCCTGTCCATCGCGGCCGCCCTGTCTGTCTCCCTGTCCCTCTCGTGCACGCCGGCCAATTAGCCACCCGGTTACCCCGAATTGCCAAGCCCTGGAGCGGACCGCCTCTGCCTCGCTGCCGACGAAAAAATGTTTGTCGGTGTCTTACGGTGTCTCGTAGCGCTTGCTCCGCATGCCCTTCAGCGCACCCTGCAGGGCTAGATGCAAAAAGATGTCGCGCATGTTCTCGTCGTCCTCGCTAGTTCGTGACGACGACCATACATAATGTCGCTACGGTATGCGACGCTGTGGCCGCGAAAGTGAATGCGTTGATTGTGTGTTGCGCGTGAGCGAAGACAAGACTCCCCCCCTCCCCCTCTGATTCATCCTAATGCTTTCGCTGCTGCTCTTTCTCCTGTTGCCCTCCTCCCCCCTCCATTCCGCCGCCGTCGCCCCCGCCACCACAGCCCCATTCCCATCGCCACTGTCCGCCGCTGATGTTTCCTTAGGGCAATTGGGCGGGTCGAGGAGGACGACGGCGGGGGGAGCTTGTTCCGCAGCTTTTGGCCCACCTTGCGCAGCTACAGGGGCAATCTGGCTGACGAGGGTCGTGAGCTCGCGGGCGCCGGAGCGGACGTGTCGTCCGCGTCCGACGCCGCGTCCAGGCTTCGTGGGATCTTGCCAATTGGGCGCGCGCCACGCGTGGCAAGAAGGCCAAGCGCACCATACGTACCTAGAGCTCTGGGAGCGAACAAATACAACAGTTGCGCATGGCACATTGCGCTGGACCGAAGGCTGGCAGCAGTGCTGGGCAACCAGCTCGTTCCCTGGCTGCCAGCCGCAGCGCCGCAGCTGCGCAGCAGGGGGGCGCAAACGAGGCTGCGCTGCGCAACAAGATCAGGTATCTGTCATCACGGCTACATCGGCAGGCGTCCTTGATGTTCAACGAACCACCTGGGGAAATTTTCGGGCGTGGTTTACTTGCGCGCCCAGTGTATCGCCGCACATCGGGCCTTGAAATTCCTCGGCGCGCCAAGGGACGGACCGGGCATTCGTCGCGCATGTTGTTCGCGCGCGACTGCTGGCGCTGGCGCCACCAGGATGCTCCTTCGCCTCGTCTGCGGGGTGGAGGGGAGGGGTCCTGCAGGGGAGCCCCAGGAGAGGTCTTGTCTGCGGTGGGGGACGGTGGCCCCTGGGTTAGGAACACCGCGCGGGTGCTGGGGGAGCGCCAACAGGGCTCCCCGTGGAGGTTCCGCCAGAAGGGTCGGCGACACAGGCCGTGAGGCCTTCACAGTACCAAGACGATGTCAGAAACGATGTTTGTTCTCAACTATGCTATCGTACCTTCATTTTCTTGAGAATCTCCCGAGCGAAAACATAATTGTTTGGAGTCCTGAGGGCGCTCTTGGAGCCAGCCTGGGTTCCTTCTTGGGTCGTTATTTCCTCATCTAGGAACACTTCGAAAACAATACCATGACGATGTTGTAGACAGATCAGCTGTGTGAGGATGTCCTGAGCGAAAGAGGCACGTTTTTTAAACGGCGTCAAAACATTCAGTAATGTTGGTCTGCCGTGAAGGTGTTCATGCTATGGAGATGTCTCGAGGAAGAGCGTCATGTTTCACATGAGAGGCACTAAAGTAGCTCTGCCAACATCCGATGCGTTCGAAGATGTCTCAGGCGAAACGCCCATTTCGAGGATCGAGCAAAAAGTCAACGCCCCACCACGGTGTCGAATTAAAGGTTCTTAGATATGTTACAGATACGGCCAAGGCGTCCAGCTCGCTTCTCTTTCCTCGAAGAAGCTTCTGGTCATCCGCCAATGATCTGCCCCGTGCGTACTATGAGTAGGCCCTTTACATGTGATGGTATGTCCAGCCATGCAGAAAGTCCTTCGGCTTCCGAATCCTCCGAATGGTTCCCCTCATCCTCCAGCGAGGTGCCAAGTGCGTTCGGCATTGCATCATTGAAGAGAACCTACCAAAAAACAAACTGTCCACGCCAGAAACACTTCCCGCCATCCGCCACCGTGCCCACCGGTACGCTGAGGCGTGGTAGAATACCAAGCGCTGTCTGGTAGGGTCTCCGTGTTTCCGTATGATTCTAACAGGCCCTCCCTCTCCCGGCACAGTGCCGCATGCCCCCCCGCTTCCGAGGGCGCGACGATCCCTTGTAAAAAACAGCGGGTCCGCAATCCTGAAGCCACGACCCTTTGTCCCCAAAACATTGATCCACATCCCGAGCTTCGAAAACGGCACAGGTACCTAACAAAGGCTGCTGATATGGCTTCAGATAGCCAAGACGGCTCACGATGGCCCCCCAAGGCCCCAAGATGGTCTCAAGACGGCCCAAAGACTGCCTCTAAGAGAGCCGAAAGGAGCCGCAAGAGAACCCACAACATGGTCCGAAGAGACCAAAATCATGTGTGCGACTTTGATCGTTAAAGTATTGTCGCAAACCCGCCTGTTCGGCCTTCAAGATGGCCCCAAAACGGCCTAAGAAGCCCAAAAGAGGGCCCCCAGACGGCCCAACAGGACCCAAGAGGCCTCCAGAAGGGCTGAAAGTCGTCCCAAAAGAATATCCGGAAAGACCCAAGACGACCCTGGGCGGCCATTCTACGGCCCTAAACGCGCAAAAATAACCCCAAGGCGGCCCCGAGACACCCACCATACGGCCAAGATGGCCCCAAGACGGCCCACGATAGTCCCAAGACGGCCTAAGAGGCGAGGGCCGAAGACGTCCCCAAGGGATCCCCAAGACTGCCCCATAGGAAAGCAAGACAGCCACAATACGGCCCAAATGAGCTCCGTGACGGTTCCCCGAAAAAAAAA